TGGCAAATCTCGCTTGCGTGACGACGAAAAAATTACGAAGCATACTTTTTCTCGCGTACCAAGCGTGCTTTCAACTATCATTTTTGTTGTTTGACAGGTATTAGGTTCTTTCCCTAACAATCCGGAGCGAAAAGTTTGCTCTCAAAAATGGAACATAATCCAGAAGTACGGGAACTCAAAAAACTACATTTCGTGCCCAGAAATTGAGAAACAGCCGATTCACGTTTTTTTTTTGTTTCGGTCACTTCAATGCAAAAACCTAGAAATTGAATTTTTATTTCACAAATTTGATTTTATGTAAAAATTGGAAATACATCAACAGGCCATTCACTATTCCTTAAAAGCACCAAGTAAATGCAGGCAACATGTTAACACAAAACAGCTGATATGCACTTTAACACTTTTACCCGGAGAATAAGCCCGGGCTAGAAGAAGAAGACACTTGCGATCCAGCAAGCTACAATTTTCGCTCTCTATTACCCATTTTGTTGAGTACGGGAATGATTTCTGGGCTGTTTTGGGCACCCGCGTTGCGTACAGGAAATAACGTATTTTCTCATTTCGCAGAATTCTTCAGAGTAGAAATACCGTTTATTTTGATAGAAAATACAAATTCAGCATGAAAAGCTCGAACCTTCTTTTTTGACGCCATTTTACAAATTAAAAAGTATGCTGTCACAGCTAGTCCGAGTAAATCCGGATCAACGCAGCCGTCTGTTTAAGCTTTAATGCTCAGTTGCAAAGAAAATTTACAGCATAAAGGTACGACCGCACTAAGCGACCCGACACTGCAGCGGCACTATGCGACAGTATTTGGTATACCGCACTGAAACTGCAGCGGCGCGACACCTCGCTGCAAAATTTTTAATTTATTTGCGTCAAAACCTTCAAAAAAGATGGGTGCCAATGACGCCAATGTAATGTTTATGCCTTTTATTTTTATTTTCCTTATAATTATTTACATAATAAAATTTAAACTGTTGCTAGTCAAATGTTCATAGTTGCCGTCATACAAGAAATAATGCCATCTTATTTGAAAAAATTTTGGTGTTTTTCGCGATGATTCTCCCAGGTAGAGAATGTTTTTCCCAGCATTGACGTCTCGATTCCAACAGGTACCGCAATTTGGGCAAAATTTGTACCTGTGGGGCGATTTGGACGTCAGGTTTATGTCGTAACACTTGGCACAAAGTTTTGCTGTTCGGAATTCGTTCACCATAAGGATGTCTGCTTTGCGTTGTTTAAAAGCTGTTCGAAGTAGACGGTTAGGTGTACGCCGAGATCCGCGTATTGGCGAGTTCGCAGCGATATCGGTTGAACCTATACATATTAACGTACTATCTTCTCCGTTCGGTACCAGTTGTTTCGCAATGTGGTTGCAGGCTTTTTGACGGCAAATGTACTACTTCAGCCGAGCCACCTTTCTTTGCGAGAAGATTTTTTGTTTTTGTTCCAGTATTTCAAGCTGAAACTTGCAATATTGACGAAAGTTCGATAAATTTGCAGACAATTCTGATTTTGTGGTGAAATCTTTCCTATATTTATTTAGCTCTATTTTGCGAGGAAATAAACCAGAAAGGTGTTGGTAATATGTATTTTTTATTTTGACAGGAACCTTGTTCTGGATGCCAGCTAAAATGAGCCGACACCCAGGATCTAGGCCAATTTTGTTTTTGTACTTTGTTGCACGTATTTTTATTAAATCACCTTCAAAATCCGTTTCTTTATCTTTGAGTTTTCTCTTTTTTACTAGCTTAGTTTCGTTTTGTAGTGTTATTTGCTTTTCCATGCAAAATAAAATGGAGAGGCCATCGGTTTGAAGTGAAGAAAACGTTTTAGTAAATTTTGAAATATTTTCCAAATTCACTTTCATCGAAGGAAGAAAATTATCCTTTGAAAAATTTTAATCGACACAATAGAAAGCAAGTCGGTCGTGTCTGACGTGATGTAAACCGTGTTTTAGTTGTGGTATTAGTGAAACATTTTTTATTACCTTGATTTCACTGTACCGTTGCGGGTTATAAAGGCTGCGTTTCTTTATACGTTCCGGATAAACGCATTTCACAGCCGGAATAAACAGAATGCGTTTGAAATATACGTCAACATATCATCAGGAACGTTCTAAAGAATAAATAAACCAAAAAATTTATTCCAAACGTTCAGAATGAATAAAGAAATGCAGCCAAAATAATTCGATAGACCAAAATAGTTTGACCTTCTCAATTTCGTGTAGTTTATTTCCGTTCCATTTTAAATCGGAACGCATAAGTTCAAGTAACGCTTCATCTGGGATATTTTTTGAATTTTTATCGAAAAGGTAGCTCATTGCATTATATACCTTTTTTTATCTTCCTCAAATCTGAAATATTTTCTGAGCCGAGTATAACCGTGCATCCAAATATTGTTATGGATCATGAGTGTGAAGTGAATATATCTCGATAGTTTGACGAACTATCGTACAACTTGAGGTTTTTTCGCAACTCATTATATTCTTCGTCGATTATATACTCCGCTTTCTTTCTTTAGCATCAAGTGGTAATAACATTCCAGAAAATTTATGGGTTCAAAGTTTCGTTGTTCCCAACGTTTCATGAGTGTGAAGTGAATATATCTCGATACTTCGACGTATAGACAAGACATTTCCTCCACATCCTTTTGCATTTGGTAATATACATCGGAATTTTTACATGATGGTCGCAAAGCTTTTTTCACCACGGAACAGGTTGTTTTATTACAATCACCTTCTTTGCTGCTTTCGCCAAGTGGCCTTTTGCGACTCTTGACGAAAAATTAAGTTTATTGCAAATTTGTAACGTCTAAATTTCTGCTGGTTCACTGTCTCGCTGTTTTCGCGCGAGTAAAATCTGCAGAGAGCCATAAATAAAAAATTTGTATTTAATTTATTAGATTAAAAGGTGACAGGCTGGCAGTACACTACATAAATTTCCACTTCTGTATTTAATTATAACTTTTAGCTTTATTTTGTCACGAGTGGGACAAGGCCAGTTCTGCTCAATAATAATAATAATAATATAGATAAAGCCCTAGATAATAAAATTTAATTAAAAACATACGAGTTTTACCATTTTATTTTCTTACAAAACACTTCAATTATGAGGTGAAGTAGTTTTAGAGTTACAAATATACGAAACAAGTGGGCGGTACCACATATTCTATTCGCATTTTTATTAGTATTAGTATTTTTAATACAGTTTTATTCAAAGCAAAATAAAGAGAAAAAAACTTGAAAATGATCGCGAAAAATTTATACACATAATAATACGGTGGCGAGAATGTAATTTTTCTTACCTAGCACTTGAGAAATAGTCAAATCCTCAAATTTAAAATTCGCGGCTAAAAGGGTTACAATTTCTGCTGCTTTACTGTCTCGCTGTTATCACACGAGTCAAATCTGCAAGGAATCAAGAATAAAAAATTGTAATGAGTTATATAAATTTTACTTACCTATCCTTAATTTAAATCCTTAAATTTTAAATTCGCGGCTGAAAGGCTTACAATTTCTGCTGCTTCACTGTCTCGCTGTTTTCACGTGAGTTAAATCTGCAAGGAATTTAGAATAAAAATTTTTAAGTTAATTTTTTAGTCCGCTAAACTGTATGTACTGCTGGTGTATCTGCATTAGGGTGGTGAAAAAGTCGGAATATCAATGCTCTCACCCCTTAGGATTGTTCTATACCGAAAAAATATTATCCCTGTTTTTGTTTTTTGAAATCAGCAAATATTCAGAGTTTGTTCAAATACTTTGTCTCGCTGTTTTATTTCACGCGAGTAAAATCTACTCCCATGTATTTCACATCAAACCATTCGGGGCTGAAAGAGTTTCAATTTCTGCTTCTTCACTATTTTTTTTCGTCCACTGCTTCACTGTAAACTCTGCAGAAAACCAAGAATACAAAATGTTAGGTTAATTTATTAGCAACGACGGGAGTTCTGAGATTATGGGTTAGTTTCTCCAACTCAACTTAACTTCGTTTAGCGAATTTTTTGGACTTAGTCAAGAATAAGCCTACTTTTTATTCAGCTTATTCTTGACTACTAAGCCTACTTTTTATTCTGCTTATTCTTGACTAAGTCCAAAAAATTGGCTAAGCAAAGTTGAGTTGGAGAAACCAACCCTAAAAGGGGACAGGCTGGCAGTTACGTATGTACATAAATTTCCACTTCTTATTTTTCGTAGCCAACACTTGAATTATGAGTAGCAAATTATTTCACAGTAATTACAACACACCCTACTTTAAACTCACTCAAAAAACATTCGCAATAAATTACGAACATGTATGTATGTGTAACAAACACGAACACAACATTTACTTTTACATAAAAATTAAATATAACTTTTAGCTTAATACTACTACTAATAATAACTAATAATATAAAGCACTCACCAAATTTTATATATAACAAATTCCACAATTAGCAAACTTTCCTAAAAACATCGATGTTTTAATGAGATATATCGAACTACCATCGATGTAATTTTTCGAAACATCGATATTATTGCGATTTAGAAGCCTAGCCCAATGACTGTGCATTTTCTATTTTACAACGCCGAACACGACCTCTGGAAATGGTTTTGTGCAACATAGCGTACTAACGCTAGGCAATGGCCAATCACAGCGCATCTTCTATTTTAAAACGCCGAAGACGACCTCTGGAGGTGGTTCTGTGCAATATAGCGTACTAACGCTAGGCGATGGCCAATCACAGCGCATCTTCTATTTTAAAACGCCGAAGACGACCTCTGGAGGGGGTTTTGTGCTACATAGCGTACTAACGCTAAGCAATGGCTATCAAAGGCCCTACACATGCATTGATTTATAGGCCAACCGGTCGGCCAACCGCTACAAGTTGGTGGTAAATAAGCCGTGTGTAGGCAAGTTGGCAAACCTTCGCCAAGTTACGAAGTATCTTTTTCCAACATATATACACCTATAAATATATTTGAGTATATTTATTTAAAAAAGTGAAACATAAAAAATAAATAAATATAAAAATAATACATTGCAAAATCTTAAAACGGCAAATAGGACTGAACGTCCGATGGATCCTTTGGCGAACTCAAATTGGAAACAGGGCTTGGAGAACGGGCCTGTGCATGAAGCTGCTCCGACTGTTGATCAATAGAATGAGTTTTCTGCGGGTTTCCTGCAAATTATTATCCATTAAAATCGTATTCAACTCAATGCAAATCTTTAACCATTTTGAGAATTTATCGCTTGTCGTGCTGCAGAATGTGGGGTAAGAGAAGATTGACGTATGATGAACGATTGATTACTTATTTGATCAGCCGTTTCTATGGTCGTGGGTAAATCCAAAAGTCGCTGATTTTGTATACCATCACCTGGTCCCATATGCGAAATGTGATTGAAATTCGTTGGCGCTGATATCATTTTCGATCTTCTATCGCTGGTGCTAAAATTGCAAAATAGGTCGCATTGAGACTATATAAGGGCCGAATTTACAGTGCGTAGTTAACCACTGACGAGAGTTTAATGGGTCAATTACGGATGGCCAGCGAATCTCAGTTGCGTTGCCACTGGCTGAAATGGTATTACAAATGCCAATTGACAACTGAAAGCTGAGTCGCTATGTTGGCAACTACGTTTTTGTGGCTGGCGCGGAAATTTATATTGAGATAACTTATTTCTCTTTTTAAATATTCCCTTAGCTTATGTACACTCAAGCCTTGTGTGCTGGTACTTCAAAATTATATTATCTTCAAACTTCATAGCACTTAACTATAAGCTTGTATTTCATTGGCGTTTACTTTCATATACATACAATATGTATGTACATATTAAAATATAAATAAATAATAAATATTTAGCGCTCAATCATATTATAAGCCTTTAATTTAATTATGATGGTTTGCCAACGCGCGAGCAACAATGTTAAATGGGCCATGAAAGAAACAGGAAACTTGTCAGAGAGAGCTTTTACTCTGTGGTTGTTTATAAGAATTTGTTGATTGCTTAAAAGGCTCTACTTCTTTAAGAAAGAAGCAGAACAAGGGGAATAAGTTCTAATTTAATTTAAATGTTTGGCTTACCTTTTAAATGATTTATTTACTTCACGAATGGAAAATCGGCGCTGTGGATTTTTAGATCCAGATTTCTCGGCAGAACACATATGAATTAATTCTTCTGCAAATTGAATTTATAATTTTTACTTTAATTCGGGAAATATTTAATAACTAGTATTTTATAATTACTTGTATGTATATTAGCTAAATACACAATTATCGGAGCGTCGTTAACATACGTTAAAACAAAATTTGCTTGTGGTCCTAATGGTTGTGCCCGCTTTAGTCCAATGGACTGAACCCACTCTGCAGTTTGTGTATTGAAAATATCCACGTGTGTTTCCGAAAAAACCAGCAAATGCCCATCCAAATATGCTGAAAATTAAATAAAGGTTATATTCTTATTGAGGTTTATTAACATTAAGTAAAGTTTAAGTATTAATTTTTAATCATACATAAATATATCGTCACCTGATACGCAAAAGGCTAACAAAAATTCCAAAATTCACTTTTTGATCATGATGTATTTTACCGAATTACTTACAAGTCCTCACGGCGTTTTACGTAAAAAAAAATAGTTGGTTACGGCGTTTTGCATTTCAGGTGACTAATACCCAGTAGATAATTTCAGGAGGCCTTCCGAAAGGCCTTCCTGAGAGTCAAGAGGTCTTCCACTCTACATTTCTTTCTCCTTTCTATTTTGTATGAAGTGGCACAAATTGAAGGGCTTCTTCTTTCGCTACCCATTGAAGGCCTTCCAGAACGGCTTTTATAGAACGTACTTCAGAAGGCCTTTTGCAAGAGTTCTTTTTAAGTTGCTTCTTAAGTTTATAAAAATCCTACATCTTTGAAGTATTTCCTTAAGGTTTATATCAAATATGTGTTATTGCAACTTAAAATGTTTATTGAAATTCATTTGTAATGCTAAATAATATAAATTTATGCATTCGCGCAAGTTGTAAATGGATTAGCCCTTCTAGAAGGCATGCAACGAAGCACTTTTTTCAGCCCTTCTTGGGTAGGCCTCTTAGAATGGCTTTACTTAAGAAGACCTACGCAAATTATCTTCTGAGTACTTATATAAACTTTAGAGACAATTTATGTTGAATATTACTTATGTGAGTTGGGTTAGCTGGATATGTTATTTCTCGATCGCGTGATTTCCTGCCTTGTAGATCCACATAAATAGCTAAGGTTTGAAACACTAGTAAATATTCCCCGAAAATTCCTCCGGGACATTGTATTTCAATAACACGAACAGCATCAACGCCCGAATAATTTAAAAAGGCACACAGTTGATTTTCCGGATGTATTAAAGCTGTTAATTAAATATGGTAAGTAATAACAAAATACGTGCACATAAAAGGAATTCGAAAATCTTACAAGTAGTCGTCGCTTCGCCCTGCAAATAATAGGCAGTAAATCCACTTTGATGTCCAATAACAAGCCGAATATCTGACAAAATTTGAAGACTCTGCACCGGATACGCCACGGTGAATTCGCACATTTTTTGATGCCGCAAATGATTACGATTTATTTCATAGACCACTACTTGTGTTTGATTAGTTGGACGTTTTAGTGCTACCACGAACGCATATACATTAGTCGGAGAACGACGAATCACGCCGGTACATGCTGCGATACAATTTTTGGAGTCAGCAACTTTTATCCATTCCACGTCGCTAACTTCTAACGCTCTTATTGGAAGTAAACGTATATGTCTTTGCTTGCCGCACAAAATGACTAGAATGTGCTCTTCCTCAACATACCACATTTGAATAATCTTCTTACTCTCACCAATACGAATTATTTCTAAATAAAAGAAAGATTTGGATGATTAATCATATGCAAGTTAATCATATCAGCACCATCAGTTAATTACCATATTGTTCCAGATTAACACAATATAAGCCATCCTCTGTACCCAATAAAAACTGATCAGGATAAACGATTACAGAGCTTAGAGCGCTTCTCACAATAGTAAGAGAGCTATCAAGTACTTCTTGCACTTTAAAAATAGCTGTATTGGGAAGATTGTTACGTTTTAGAATGCGATGCAATTCGCCCAAAGCAACTACCCATTTCCTCTTCTCGGTTTCATTATCCGCCAACATTAGCGTATTACAAGTTGGCCCTCCTTCAATTAAAGATGTCTTAATCTAGGTACACAAACAGAAGCTTGTTTAGGTAAGCATTAGGAAGTCGTCAATTTAATGCATTTACTACATTGCTAATACCCAGGATGCTTTGCTATTTAAACGTCCTCTTATGTACATAGATAATTATTTATCATTGCATCCAACAAAGCGTGAATTTGCCCTTAAAATCATTCTGACATTAGCAGTAGCTTTTCAGATATATTTAAAGTGTAAAAAATGCGAACACTTTGTATTATTTAGTTGCCACAACAAAATAAATAGGCGGAATGGAACCTTTGGAATTTGATAAAAATAATGTTTAAATATTGACCTCCTGGTGCCAAAGGTAACAAAAACTTGAATCCATATTGATAAAGGACCGAAAAAGCTAACAAAATATTATTTAATTAAAGGGAAAGGCTTTACAATTTTTTATTGTACCCATCAAAATGTTGTACTTCTCTTAGAAAATTTCCACAAATATGATAAAAACTGAAATTTATGAAAAATAATTTGACCTACCTTGACCTCGTAAGTAAAAATAAAAAATAAAGTAAAAAAAACCCAAAATTTTAATCGAAATTTGTGTTAAAAAATGGTAACTTAAAGTGCTAATGACCTCACTAACTCTTGTTTGCGATGTGCTTGTTTAAACGGCTTTTTAATTTACAATACAACGCTACTGTTTTTAAGAATTACTGAACAGAATAGAACAACATAAATAACTTACCCTAAATATACATGGCACATCTTTTTTCGTAGCATGTATGACGTCGCTCTCTCGAACACTGGCGACCGCAAACTCAGGATCTCTCATGTCCAAGACTTGTGAGACGTTCACGCTAGGTAAAGCACTTCTTTCCGCCGATATATCATATAAAAACAACTTGAAGTCGCACACGACCACAAATTGACGTACCCACCCCCTTTTGATCGTGCCCATCTTTGGCACTTTTACATATCCTTCATATGCTGTGCCGATTCCTCGGGTCGGGTCGATGCCTAAAGGACGTTTCGTTTGATCAATTGGGACAGGACATATTGTAGGAACTTTCTGGCAGCAAATTGTGTGGCAAGCGAAGCCACAGAATTCACATACAACGCCCTGCCTAGTGAGGCCAACCATCAGTGAAGTACAGTGGTTGCATTTTGTTGGGCTGCTGAAAGTCCTAACCAAAAACTGATGCACTTTTGTTGTTGGTACATTCGAGGAATGCAGATCAATAGGCTTTACACTAAGGCTACTTTTTGAGCTTGACTTGCTATGATGCCCGTGAATGTCGTCCAATTCATTATTGTCCTGTTCGTTTTTATAATCTGTCGACAGATAATGCTTCTTCTCTACCATATAATATGGATAAAGAGATTCAAGCTTGGAGTTTTGAGGATATCGCATCGCATATGAGCTACTTGAAGTAGCAGAAGAATTTGGGTTTTGCTTCAAATTCCCGAGTGACATATTGTTATTAAATGAGCTACCCTGCAATTGACAATAAAATTTTAAGTTCAAAATATATATAATAAAAACTTACCATAACGTCCCTGGAGATATTACTGTCAGCATCAATATCAGTTATTTCCAAAACTATTTTGAGTTATCATTTACATTTAGATAGTAACCGTAGAAAAAACGGAGATTGAGGAAAGCATACATATACATACATACACACAAATATGTAATCAATGCGATTATTAGTTATGTTAGGCAGTGAACCAGGCAAGTTGGAAAGTACGATTTAACACGTATCGTTGCAGGATCAATAAAAGCGACATGAAATGAGAAGAATGTCAAATATAAGCGTGGAACTTTAAAAATACAGTTAAGATTAGCATAAAAACACATACATTTGTAAATTGATTTAATTGTTTTGTTTTGTTAATTATAAAAAATAAATGAAATGTAATACAAATTTCTTATATCGCTGATTTGGGTCGTATTTTTTTGTTTTTGTTCCAGTATTTACAGCTGAAATTTGCAATATTCACGAAAATTCGATGAATTTGCAGACAATTCTGATTTTGTGGTGAAATCTTTCGTATATTTATTTAGCTTTATTTTGCGAGAAAATAAACCAGAAAGGTTTTGGTATATATGAGATATAGACAGGTGCTACGTGCATACATAATATTTTAACCTGATCCACATGTCGACATACGCTATGGAAGCCGTATCATTATATAAACAGTACACGTAGTAGCCCTACAAATAATTGACCATTCCTTCAAATTAATACAAAAAGACTGAAAACATGCTATTCGAAAAAAGGAATGAATTTACACTTTAAAATATATTAATCACCAAATCAAACTCCTAGCTTCATATTTGTAGTATTCTTATTGAATTTATTTACTTCGTTAAAGTGAAAGAAGGAAGTCTATGACAAAACGAAATAATAGAGAAATTGTCTTCTACAAAATTTATATAATTTAATTTAATTTAGTTGTAAATTGATTTGCCACATAATGCGTGAAAAGTATTTTGTTTATTTCAGAAATTCAAATCCACATTTCAATACACGTGGTAACGGTAACCTTTTTATGTGCATTCTTGCAGCGAATGAAGACAGAGTACAAAACAGTGTAATATATAGTGAGTGCAACGATAGTGTTATTTATTATTTTACTATTATTTTATTTCACAATATGTGCAATAAAAGGTAAAGCTGAATTACACATGCGCGCCTAATATGATCTTATTTTTGGAGATTTCCCTCCGACAATCTTAAACTATATGCATCGCAATTGTTTGCAAATAACTATCTAATGTGATTTCAACTTTTTTCTGTTTAAATAAACTTACTTCACTTTACGCCATGAATATTGAGCTTGCGGATTCAATAACCGATGAAATGCGTGCAATATATTCATACATATCGTTGGTTATTATATCCGTGCCTTCAATTGTTTTCTTATTTTCCGACGAAAATACTTTGTAAATTAATTGTTTTATGGTGTATAACAAAGAAACATAAAATTCAAACAAGAAAAATTTGATTCAAAAAGTTTTGATACGTAGCCTATAAGTTTTTTACTTTTTTTAATATCATGTATATGTACATACCGATAATTATTAATTTGCTACTATATAAATTTTGCAGAAGACAATTTCTCTCTTTTCTTAAATGAGACATTGAGAACTTCTGGAATCATGGTGATTGAGCAAAAACATCTACAGGCTCGGATTGCCTGAGGCTGCCTTATTGGATCATCGATATTTATACATCAGATTAAGGGTAATTTAGTGTACTTTAAAAAGTACATACAACAAAAAAGGAATTTTCCACTTTGCTGCTTAATAGTTTTTTATCTATTTATTTAACGAAAAAATTGTTTGTATAAAAAAAACGGGGAATTTCGTTACAAACAGAATGGTATGTTGTTATCTTGCGTGCGACAAATAGCAGCCAAGATATTCGCGAAAATGTGAAGAAAAACGTTTTTTTGCATTACTTTGCAAAAACCATTGGCACAACACTACAAATTCAGCTTTAAATTCTTTTTATAACCCCCTCTTGAATTCTAGGTGCAATCTTCAACAACCATTCGATTATTTAGAATTAAAATAAACTTGTATGTATTATTTAATGTATTAATGTATCAATATCTTACCAAAGAAGGGCTGAAAAAGTGCTTTCCTGAATGCCTTCTAGAGGAGCTTTTCCTATTTATTAAAAAATCAGCTTTAAAGGAACTCCATTAAAAGGCCTACATAGTAATTAAAAATGAATTCTAATCATGACCTGCTTTTTATTTATATTCCTATTTACTTTCTGTTTAATTCATTCAAGCAATAAAGGATAAATTTGTTAGTTTAAACAAAAAGTTTTGTTTATGAAAACATTATTTTCATGCCAGATAACTTAATTAGTGACAAAATATAAACAAAGCATTTTTTCATTACCTACAAATGTATGTATGTACATATGTATGTGAATAAATTTTTATTTAATTTTTTAATTCTTAAGGCTCTTCCTCTTTTATTTCATGTAAAACAAAAAACGTTTAAACGAACTAAGATATTTTATACAAACACTTTAACAACAGAACATTAATAACTAATTAAATAAATGAAAATTTGATTTAAGATTATTTTTAGAGTTTGAAATTTCATAAAAAGATAGGCACTGGCATGATACAATTATCCCCAGGTATTTTCTTC